TATACTAAAGATGTCCCTAAAATATAAAATTCCCCTATACTATAAATCAATTGATTCCCCTATACTATAAAAGCTCCACTATTATCAAAGGTATTTTTCTGGTACACCTTCAAAGGAGGTTATGATATTTGTTAGTAAACAGTTACCCTTTAAAGATAACTGAAATTTTTATAATCCTAAATTCAATCTATTTTATCAATAATTTTTCATTATCTTTATTGTGAACCGACTACACTTTAGTGATTTGATAATTGACTCCAAGGTTATATTAGTGACTGATAAATATTAAAATTGCAAAATAACACCTTAATTTCCAGCTGGGTACTGCTGTTGTTGAGCGGGCACCTCTTTGCCTGCAGTGTGGGCTACATTGTGCATTGAGCTTGAAGAGGAGCGGGTCATTCTTCCCATGTTTCCAGTGGCTGTCTCAGGGGGTTGAATAACCATGTGTGAATCCTTGTGGTGGTTTTCGCGATAGTAGCCAACTAAAACACAGAAAGCAACCATGCACAAGCACATCCATGTTAGAATGTTGAAAGCTAGATTTGCCTTGTTCGAGTTACAACGGGCAGTATAAAAGGAACCTCTATTGGGTTGGCAGCGGAACCCGGCCCAAGAGTTTGCATTCCAAACCCAGCCACCCAACCATGCCATCGCCAAGATACCACTGATGAGGATTTCGGCAAGTGGATTTCTATATCCACTAAGACCCTTTAAGGTACCCGTAGCCCATGCAATGGGAAGTGCTATAATAGTGAAACAGGACCAACAAATGATCCAGATACCAACGCCGCGGAATCTTTCTTTGAAATATTGAATCACTGCAGCTGCTAGTGCTAAGCTCAACGCTGCAAACAGCCAGGAAAGCCCATAGAATACTGTGCGTATAGTGCCTGAAAAGTTAACCATTATTTTAAGAAGCAAATGGGTATAGTGGGGCTAACTAATGGATCAGACAAATATATATAAATTATCAGAAAGGTGAAATTATAGATAAGAAGGAAAGATAGGTTTTAAACGTTGGATGTAGAGGATGGGTAAGAAAACGTGGTCTCCAATATTGATGTGGTAGCATATGGGTCACATTGACATATATGAATTACCACAAGGTTCTGGCCACAATCTACCCATGTGTTTTTGATGTGCGCTATAGAGTAATCAGAGACTGGGCCTTTCTCGAGCACCAGGATGTTGTCTCAGCCAGCACATAGTGTTCTTATAGGCCACGCCTTTGAGATTTAGATCAGGAAATGCATGACAGATTTCTCCAATAGTGACAATATAGGTCATCCAGTTAGAGCTAGGGATTGGCGACTTAGAACCTTATTAATATATTCTACCTTGCGTGCTGTCAAGTGGCACGCCCACGAGCTTGGAATGGACTTGGGTGAAAAGGCCGAAGGTACAAGATCTGGCATATCAAAACAAATACCATGGGTTTGATTTCAATGCAGAATTGATGTTAATGCAACTAAAGCTTATGCAAATCTTCATCGCTGACTAAGATTCCAATCATACATTCCAATGGTAAATTTACTATTGTCATCTAAGCGGCTAAAGCCACTATAAAAGTAAGGAATTAAAAGCTGAGTATATACGTATATAAGATTATGTCGTAGAGTATGCCCTTGTGAGGACAGGATTTTCAGAACTAACCATTTTGTGTGGTTCGTAAGAATGGTGGTTGCCAGCATATGCTGGAATCATGCCATTACCATCGAGAGTGCTCTTGCTGCCATCATTTATTTGTGGGTTACCATATACAAACCCGCCAATAGCACCCTGATTGTCTTTGGGTGTTTCCACATGATACTGAGGCTCCAAGCCCTGAATCCCACCCTTATTACTCTGCTCCAATTTCGGAATCTCTTTGCCATTGCCGATTTCAGAGGAATTTGAAAGATCACTTCCTCGATTTTGCAGTGATGCGTATATCTGTGCAAAGCTGACAAATATCCACAGACCAAATCCAATCCAACATAGGACGAGGCTCCCAGTAAAGACGTTGCAGGATGCCCTTTTGCATTTGCCAAATTCGTCTCTATAGACTAATGACACCGTCGATACAGCCACTGCTGATGATATCCACATAACAGACATTATCAGTGAAGATAGAGTTTCAAGTCGGTTGAGCTTTGGCCATTTCGGTGTATCGTTTCGTAGAGACTTCTTTTGTATTGTGACTGCGATTACAAGAAATATTGTGAATGCCCAAGTTATAACTGAAAGGGCTATTGTATACCCTATTGCCGGCTTCCCACCTTTCTTAAGAAAATCAACCCTGCTCAATGCGGCAGCCATCAAGGGGAAATTGACTAGAGATAGTAAAGACAACAGACAGTATATGAAGATACGTGAGAACCTAACACCTCTTGTTAATAATATTAGTACTCGACCCATTGTATATAAAATAGATACCAAGTAAAGATGTGTCCTTTCAATTATTGCTGACGCCTTCATAGTCAAGTACTTTTATTGATAAAATCTCAAATTTCAATGCTTTGTAGCAATGACCTTGAATGACTTTTACTTGTCGGATGATCATTTGAGGAGTTAAACAAATATATGATTGACCAACATATCGCGACATTGTTGAATAATACTGCAGAGCCATCAAAGCTAAAGGTTTTCCTATAATTCGATGTTGATAGGTTAAAGTCAAATGGCAGAGTTGCCTTTAATTGTGTAACATACAATATGTCAAAAAAATCTCAATAAGCCAATAATTAGCCCACCTTATGATTTTTTCTGCTTATTGATAGGTTAATAAAGATTTTTTGAGGTAGTGAGAGTTATCCTGGGAATTTTGGCGAAATCAAACAGAATTGTGGCAAAAAAAGTATAGCAATGCGGTAGTAAAATGAATTAGAGTGGTAAACTAATTGTTTCTATTCAAATAGAAACAAAAATAAAATGCTCCGTGTGAGGATCGAACTCACGACCTTAAGATTATGAGACTTACGCGTTGCCAGCTGCGCCAACGAAGCCAAGTTTAATTGTGTTTGTGGAGCTCCCGGTAGGATTAGAACCTGGGTTGCTCTTATTATCGAAAGGCTTATTATCACTCATGATAGGATAAA